GCTGTTTCTCCATTGGTTTGTAGCCAGTATACATCAGTTATATATTGGTGAATACTGGCAACAATTTTCATTTATACATGTCTCATTGAATATGACTGCATATTCTGTATTGATTATTTTCTGGTTTAGGGCTTCTATCCCTCTGACTAATGCTCTTGCATCTGGGTTTAACTGTAGGAGGAGTTTCCCAAAAGTCATGTTTGTTCGAGGTGAAGAAAAAGAAATAAATAACTGTATAATGCATTACACTTATTATAAAATTTTACACAAGGTTTCGAACCTACATGGTTCATTCTCAAGTGAAGTTACAGTACAGGACAGTATATTATTAGTGGGTCAGGTGAATACAAATGGATCGATAAATGAGGTCATGTGTGGTCAAATAGATTGAGCAATGAGTACACATGTGGTTGTAGAATAAGGCAAAATGGGGAAAAGAGTAGAATAAGGCGAAATAGGATACGAAACACATACAAAGATTAATCAGGTGTAGTGGGCGTGGCATGTTGTGCAGTGTCTTGTATATTGGCATCTTAACGTTCTGGTCTTTTTCTTACTCTCCTGGTGGGTAGAATGAATAATTCCGTAATTTGGGTAGTTATGGTAGGTTGTTCTACTTTTATGTAGATTGCTTCAAGAATTTGTAATCATCTTGCATCTTGGGTACATTATACAATAATAGTTAATAAACCCAAGATGCAAGATGATTACAAATTCTTGCAGCAATCTACATAAAAATAGAACAATCTACCATAACTACCCAAATTACGGAACTATTCATTCTACCCACCAGGAGAGTAAGAAAAAGACCAGAACGTCAAGATGCCAGCATACAAGACACTGCACAACATGGAGGTGTTAAACAGGTGTTAAAACTTGTTCGAACGTTGTACCAACGTCGTAGTTTCGGTGTGTGTTTGGCAGCATGCGTTTTTTTTGAAAAACAGCGCCATCTGTTGCATGTAAGAGCAACACTCAATATACAAAATATGTTATGATTCTATTTCATTGTTCCCGATTGTATTGATAAATTGAATTTTCACAGATTTTGATTTGTTTTCATTTTGATTAAATTGTTTTGTGTGACGTTGCATTGGAATTGAGCTGTGTTGTTTACCATTCCGTTCATTTCGAGAGTATAGCTTATTTGTTTCTTTTTTCATTGTTTTTCATTACGTTTTTTTAGCTGTTCTTATTTTTCAGTGCAATTGGTGGTGAATTTGAGCTGTGTCGATTGATCTGCGTTTCAATATATTTTGTTAGTGTTTTTCGTTTTTGTTTTGAAAACAAGAAAATGGACAACACGTTTATTTCACAGCTGCAAATGTGCAACAGCAATGAATCTACCGGCTACAACGTTAACTGCTTTCTTCACGTTGTTAAAATGATGCGTTTGCGAAAACACTCCTGTATGCGGAAGTGCCTGTACATTACACATAAAATATGAGTAGATAATCATTTGAATGACGCAAACAAGGAGAGCGAGTCGACGGACAACCTGGCATATTCAAGTAAACTACGATAGTCAGACTGCACGCGGTGTATCCCAATCAGGATAAATGCTTCATTCTTCGCATGATGTTGGTAAATGTGCCCAGTCCAACGTCTTTCCAGCCATTGAGATTTGTCAACGGCATAACTTATGCCACTTTCCGTAGTGCATGTCAAGCTCTTAATTTATTGGAGAACGACCGACACTGGGCTGTATGAATTAATGACGCGTCCAACACATCACATCAAATCAATTTCGAGCATTGTTTGCAATCATATTGACCACCTGCTCTCCTTCGTCTCCATCAGAGTTATGGGAGAAATATAAATCGCACATGGCTGAAGATATTATCCGTCTAATATGCAAGGAAAATTCAAATATGAACATAGATTTTACATCACAAATCTACAACGAAACGTTGATAATGACTGAAGATTTGTCCTTAGAAATCGCGAACAAAGTTCTAAATCAATTAGAAATGCCATCACCGAATCGATCTGCTGCTGCATCGTTCGATGTAGAATTGCATCGTGAACAAAATTACAACACGGGTGATCTATTGTCGTATGTGCAGTCAAACATTTCTAAGCTAACACTTGAGCGAAAAGGCATTTGCAATTATATAATTCAAACTGTCAATAACGGGTTTGGAGAAATCTATTTAGATGCGCCAGGAGGAACTGTAAAACCTTCCTAATTAGAATGATTCTGGCAGCATTTCGATTCCAAAATGGCATAACTTTAGCTCTTGCATAGTCCGAAATAGCTGCGACATTGCTACCAGGTGGAAGAACTGCTACTTCGGCTATGAAATTGCCATTGAACATGCAATTCATTGAAACTCCCACGTGCAACATTTCCAAAGCATCTGGCATGAGAAAAGCATTGCCCAAATGTAAACTAATTGTTTAGGAAAATGTACAATGACCCTCAAAAAATCGCTCGAGGCTCTTGATTGATCATTGCAAGATTTGCTTGGAAACATCAGACCATTTGGGAACTCATTAATATTGCTTGAAGGAGACTGCAGACAAACATTACCTGTAATTCCTCGATCGATACCAGCGGACGAAATAAATGTTCACCTGAAATACACTACTTTGTGGCGCCACGTAAAGACGTTAAAATTAACTACAAATATGCGTGTCCAGCTGCAAAACGATCCATCAGCTGAGACAGTCTCACATTAACTTCTGGAAATTGAGAACGGAAACGTGCAGGTTGATCTCAGGACGAATTTCATTGCCTCACAACTTCTGCAATTTAGTGACGTCAAAAGAAGATTTTTTTGAAAAAGTCTTTCCCAATATTCAAACCAATTATATGAATCACGATTGGATGAATGAACGAGCTATTCTTGTAGCCAATAACAAACACGTCAACGAACTTAACAATATTCTTTAGTCTAACATTCAAAGAAAAACAGTCACATACAAGTCCGTCGACACTGTTGAGGAAGCAGATGAAGCGGTTAATTATCCAACATAATTTTTTATTTTACTCGATCTGCCAGGGATACCATCACACGTACGGCAATTTAAAATCGGCGTGCCAATTATCATGTTGCGAAATATCAACCAGCCAAAACTTTGCAACGCCACGCGCCTTGCTTCAAGAACATTAATCAGCAACGTCGTAGAAGCAACAATCTTGAAAGGACCTTTGAAAAGTGAAGATGTCCTCATTCCTCGCATTCCTATGGTTCTAACAGATATGCCATTTTAATTTAAGAGATTGTGATTTCCAATTCGATTGGCGTTTGGAATTACCATCAACAAAGCTCAGGGCCAATCTGTAGAATTGTGCAGTTTATATCTAGACACGGATTGTTTCTCACTTGGACAATTATATGTTACGTGTTCTGGAATCAGCAAAGCAGACAATCTCTTTATCTCCACAGACAATGGAACAAAAAATATTGTATACCCACAAGCATTGTGAAAGTAAACTTATTAGAAATGTGCGCTTTCTCTTTTCTTTCTTTTCCATTTAATCAGATTGAGCCGCAGCAACGCGTGGCGGGTACAGCTAGTATATAAATAAAAATGGATATGTTCATTTGTTCAAATCGCTAATCTCCGAAAGTTCTTCACCGATTGCTTTGAAATTTTCACACAATGTTCCATTTGCATCCGGCCAGGTTTCTATATACATACTATATAGATGTCACGTCTGTGACGGTAAAAAAAAAACATGCTTTTTCTGAAAAACTGTATTTTTGATGTGTTTTTCCTGTGAGGGAAATCTTCGAAACCTCTTTACCGATTGCTTTGAAATTTTGACATAACGTTGCATTCGAATAGGCGCGTCTTTTTATATATCTACCATATACATGCCTCACCTGTGACAGGAAAAAACATTATTTTTTTCTTGTTATAAGTATGAATTAGTTTATCTTGTTATAAGTATGAATTAGTTTATCTTGTTATAAGTATGAATTAGTTTATCTTGTTATAAGTATGAATTAGTTTATCTTGTTATAAGTATGAATTAGTTTTCGTTAAATTAAAAAACAGAGGATTTAGACTGAGTGGTGGACTGGCTGACTGACGTACTGGTTGACTGTTCAACTCGCTTTATCTCACCACCTGAGTGACTGAGTGACTGACTATTGTCAAGTAATGGAATGTGTGGTAGCTCTAGACAGACCTTGCATTTGGTAAATGGGAGTGAAATTGCAACACCAGTGAACAGAAAACCTGCCCTGTTTGAGGAAAAGGACAGAGGAGTGATCGGATGAGAAGATTGAAGAATTGACAGGTGATTGACAGCTGGCAGAGGGGAGAGGGTGGAACAGGCGGAAGAGGGGGAGGGGGGGGAGGAGGAGAAGGAGCAGGGGAGAGGATGTGGCTGCACGGACCTGAGCTGTGTTGCCAGTTATATTAGTGATCATGAGCTGTGATGTTGTTTGGGTGTGCGGGAGTGAGAGGAACAACAATGAACTGTAAATCAGTGTAGTCACGCCAGGAGAGGAGCCCCCCTGTGGAAGTCCTATCCACCCTCCTACGGTATATTCTTCAAGGTGTGCATATAAAAATTAAAAATCTATGCACAAATTATTTTGAAACTTGGACAAATCATTTGGGGTTTTCACTCGTTCATATAACGGAACTTGCTACCCGACATACACTGAACAATCCTTTTGATATTTAAAAAAAAATAATGTTTGTCAACACTTTGCAACATTACATTAGTTCACCCCTTTGCAATCATCATCATCATCATCATGCAACTTTCATCATCATCTACATATGGATGATATCGTAGGCCGTGCACTCTGTGCAACATGTGTACCATCTGTGCAACATGGTGCACAGGATCATGCGCATGCTCTATGGCATCAATTTCCCTACTCACATGACCACCTGATATCCTTATAACATGCCAGCCTCTTCACAAGACTTCCAGCATGTGATGGGCCAACAACAGACTCCCTCCACCTACAGTATCCACACCACACACCCCCACAACACAGCCCCATCACCTCCACATGAGCCATCATCCTCACCTGGTACCCCTTCACCTTGATGAGGTCTTTTATCCTGTCTGTGAGGAAGAGGAAGTCGTCTCGGGTGTAGTAGCCGAGATCCCCTGTGTGAAGCCAGCCATCAGAGTCAATGCAGGCGGCGGTGGCAGCTGGGTTGTTGACGTAACCCAGCATCATGGTGGGACCTCGTACACACACCTCTCCCTCCACCCCCTCGCCAACCATCTTTCCGCTCTCCACGTCTATTATCTGAACAGCGTTGATGGAGAGGAGCGAAGAAGAGGAAGTTTAGTACCTTGCATCAGAGTGTTAAGTTGTTATTACAACATCCTCCAATACATTAGAACAGATTTACATTTTGAGGAAGGCTAGACCAGTCTTCCCTCAGCACGAGATAGACAATGAAAGCAATGACCAATAAAGACCAGTTGAAGCCAGCGACCACTGTGTTTAATCATCGAATAATTGGTAACAATGAAGGAAATAGGATTATGTAAGCGGGAGGAGAATGTATGGCTAGCATATCGGGAATGGAAATGCCAGAATTTCAGAGAAGTCCTTGGATGGAAGAACATGGTAAAGAGAACTTAGAGGAAAAATCAACACCGGACATGATGGACTACACAAAGAAGCTAAAGAAGGACTCATACCATCTCTGAGCGATAAAGGGACCAAGAAGAGCATTAGCCAATGGTTCAACAGACTATGTCTGGAGGTAAAGAAGAGAAGCAATACAGTATGCAGGAAATACAGAAAAGACAACGCAGAAGGAATTCACGATATATATATATAGGGGCCAAAAATGAGTACACCCAAACTAGGCTAAACATAATTAAAGGAGATAATAATGAGATTGATTAGCAGGTAATGCTTGGAATTTATCAAAAGCTTCCAAGAACTATTCACCCTAAAACCTGATCTGTCGCAAAAGTTACAAGTCCAAACGAAACTGGCAACTTTCACAGAACTGTCTGACAAATGGCTGTGACTTCAAGACAAGTAAAGAAGCAACTGTAGGCACTGGATGTAACAAAAGCTGTAGGACCAAACAAAATATCGCCTTGGATATAAAACAGGCAATGATATTTTATTCCACTTTGTAAAGGCGAAAACTGCTGGCATTTTAACTGCTGGAATATGACAAATGTGATGTCAACTCGCAAGAAAGTAGAAAGACAAGAAGGGTTTACCTACAAGCATCCTGTAGAATTTACTAGCGAGACTCAGCCAGAGTAGATTATTAGAAGATTCAGCATGATATTGACTCTTATCCTGATCCAGCATGTTACTGACTGTCTGTTACACTGATCCAGCATGATCTAGAACCTGCTGGACTCTCACCTTGTACTCTCCTAGTTGTACTTGCTGGGGTTTAGCTTTAGCTCTTCGGTCCCCCCTTTCAACAGTCACTGAACTGGTGTATCTATTGTGTCTGGAACCTATTGAACTCAATCATATCTACATTTGAAACTATGTATGGAGTCTGCCTCCACCACATCACTACTTACTGCATAAGTGGTATACAAGGTCCTGAACAATTCCTTACACAAGTTTGTAAAAGCTGTTCTTATGTTGGCGAATCTAGAATATGCCGCTGATGACACTTGTGTAACATTGACACTGACACTGTGCGAAAATGGTCTGTCTTGACACTGTCTCCGATGAACATTGACCCTGCATGATACTGCCTTTTGTTATACTGACCTGTTGTTCTACTGACCAGTTGTTCTACTGACCAGTTGTTCTACTGACCAGTTGTTCTACTGACCTGTTGTTCTACTGACCTGTTGTTCTACTGACCTGTTGTTCTACTGACCTGTTGTTCTACTGACCTGTTGTTCTACTGACCTGTTGTTCTACTGACCTGTTGTTCTACTGACCTGTTGTTCTACTGACCTGTTGTTCTACTGACCTGTTGTTCTAATGAACTGTTCTACTGACCAGTTGTTATACTGACCTGTTGTACTACTGACCAGTTGTTATACTGACCTGTTGTTGACCCTTAGGCCAATGACCACTCATGACACTGACCTTGACCTGCATGTAGGGCATGACACGACCTACAGAGCCTGGGGAGAAGCCATATATAGGGTCGTTGGTGGCGATGTTGACCGCCTCAGTCATGCCGTAGCCAGAGGACAAGGATTTCCCTGTCTGAGGAGAGAGAATATGACTGAGGTCATTACTGGCGGTTGGTCAGTAAGCGTTATATTTGGTGTACGTGTCCTCTCTAGTCAGTGTACGTGTCCTCTCTAGTCAGTGTACGTGTCCTCTCTAGTCAGTGTTCGTGTCCTCTCCAGTCAGTGTTCGTGTCCTCTCCAGTCAGTGTTCGTGTCCTCTCCAGTCAGTGTTCGTGTCCTCTCCAGCTAGTGTTCGTGTCCTCTCCAGCCTGTGTACGTGTCCTCTCCAGCCTGTGTACGTGTCCTCTCAAGCCAGTGTACGTGTCCTCTCCAGCCACTGTTCATGTCCTCTCCAGTCAGTGTACGTGTCCTCTCCAGTCAGTGTTCGTGTCCTCTCCAGTCAGCGTTCGTGTCCTCTCCAGCCAGTGTTCATGTCCTCTCCAGCCAGTGTTCGTGTCCTCTCCAACCAGTGTTCGTGTCCTCTCCAGCCACTGTTCATGTCCTCTCCAGTCAGTGTACGTGTCCTCTCCAGTCAGTGTTCGTGTCCTCTCCAGTCAGCGTTCGTGTCCTCTCCAGCCAGTGTTAGTGTCCTCTCCAGCCACTGTTCGTGTCCTCTCCAGTCAGTGTTCGTGTCCTCTCCAGTCAGTGTTCGTGTCTTCTCCAGCCTGTGTACGTGTCCTCTCAAGCCAGTGTACATGTCCTCTCCAGCCACTGTTCATGTCCTCTCCAGTCAGTGTACGTGTCCTCTCCAGTCAGTGTTCGTGTCCTCTCCAGTCAGTGTTCGTGTCCTCTCCAGTCAGTGTTCGTGTCCTCTCCAGTCAGCGTTCGTGTCCTCTCCAGCCAGTGTACGTGTCCTCTCCAGTCAGTGTTCGTGTCCTCTCCAGTCAGTGTTCGTGTCCTCTCCAGTCAGCGTTCGTGTCCTCTCCAGTCAGTGTTCGTGTCCTCTCCAGTCAGTGTTCGTGTCCTCTCCAGTCAGTGTTCGTGTCCTCTCCAGTCAGTGTACGTGTCCTCTCCAGCTAGTGTTCGTGTCCTCTCCAGCCAGTGTACGTGTTCTCTCTAGCCACTGTTAGTGTCCTCTCCAGTCAGCGTTCGTGTCCTCTCCAGCCACTGTTCGTGTCCTCTCCAGCCACTGTTCGTGTCCTCTCCCGCCACTGTTAGTGTCCTCTCCAGCCAGTGTACGTGTTCTCTCCAGCCACTGTTCATGTCCTCTCCAGTCAGTGTACGTGTCCTCTCCAGTCAGCGTTCGTGTCCTCTCCAGCCACTGTTCGTGTCCTCTCCAGCCAGTGTTCGTGTCCTCTCCAGCCACTGTTCGTGTCCTCTCAAGCCAGTGTACGTGTCCTCTCCAGCCACTGTTCGTGTCCTCTCCAGTCAGCGTTCGTGTCCTCTCCAGCCAGTGTTCGTGTCCTCTCCAGTCAGCGTTCGTGTCCTCTCCAGCCAGTGTTCGTGTCCTCTCCAGAAACTGTTCGTGTCCTCTTCACCCACTGTACGTGTCCTCTCCAGCCAGTGTTCGTGTCCTCTCCACCCAGTCTTCGTGTCCCCTCCACCCAGTCTTCGTGTCCTCTCCACCCAGTCTTAGTGTCCTCTCCAGCCAGTGTTCGTGTCCTCTCCAGCCAGTGTTCGTGTCCTCTCCAGCCAGTGTTCGTGTCCTCTCCAGCCACTGTTCGTGTCCTCTCCAGCCACTGTTCGTGTCCTCTCCAGTCAGCGTTCGTGTCCTCTCCAGCCAGTGTTCGTGTCCTCTCCAGCCAGTGTACGTGTCCTCTCTAGCCAGAGTACGTGTCCTCTCAAGCCAGTGTACGTGTCCTCTCCAGCCACTGTTCGTGTCCTCTCCAGCCAGTGTTCGTGTCCTCTCCAGCCAGTGTACGTGTCCTCTCTAGCCAGAGTACGTGTCCTCTCAAGCCAGTGTACGTGTCCTCTCCAGCCACTGTTCGTGACCTCTCCAGCCAATGTTCGTGTCCTCTCCAGTCAGTGTACGTGTCCTCTCCAGCCAGTGTACGTGTTCTCTCCAGGCAGTGTTCATGTCCTCTCCAGCCACTGTACGTGTCCTCTCCAGCTAGTGTACGTGTCCTCTCCAGCTAGTGTACGTGTCCTCTCCAGCTAGTGTACGTGTCCTTTCCAGCCAGTGTACGTGTCCTCTCCAGGCAGTGTTCGTGTCCTCTCCAGCCACTGTACGTGTCCTCTCCAGTCACTGTACGTGTCCTCTCCAGCCACTGTTCGTGTTCTCTCCAGCCAGTGTACGTGTCCTCTCCAGCCACTGTTCGTGTCCTCTCCAGCCACTGTTCGTGTCCTCTCCAGCCAGTGTTCGTGTCCTTTCCAGCCACTGTTCGTGTCCTCTCCAGCCACTGTTCGTGTCCTCTCCAGCCAGTGTTCGTGTCCTCTCCAGCCAGTGTTCGTGTCCTCTCCAGCCAGTGTTCGTGTCCTCTCCAGCCAGTGTTCGTGTCCTCTCCAGCCAGTGTTCGTGTCCTCTCCAGCCAGTGTTCGTGTCCTCTCCAGCCAGTGTTCGTGTCCTCTCCAGCCAGTGTACGTGTCCTCTCCAGCTACTGATCGTGTCCTCTCCAGCCACTGTACGTGTCCTCTCTAGCCACTGTTCGTGTCCTCTTCACCCACTGTACGTGTCCTCTCCAGCCACTGTTCGTGTCCTCTCCAGCCAGTGTTCGTGTCCTCTCCACCCAGTCTTCGTGTCCTCTCCAGCCAGTGTTCGTGTCCTCTCCACCCAGTCTTCGTGTCCTCTCCACCCAGTCTTCGTGTCCTCTCCAGCCAGTGTTCGTGTCCTCTCCAGCCAGTGTTCGTGTCCTCTCCAGCCAGTGTTCGTGTCCTCTCCAGCCAGTGTTCGTGTCCTCTCCAGCCAGTGTTCGTGTCCTCTCCAGCCACTGTTCGTGTCCTCTCCAGTCAGCGTTCGTGTCCTCTCCAGCCACTGTTCGTGTCCTCTCCAGCCAGTGTTCGTGTCCTCTCCAGCCAGTGTACGTGTCCTCTCTAGCCAGAGTACGTGTCCTCTCAAGCCAGTGTACGTGTCCTCTCCAGCCACTGTTCGTGTCCTCTCCAGCCAGTGTTCGTGTCCTCTCCAGCCAGTGTACGTGTCCTCTCTAGCCAGAGTACGTGTCCTCTCAAGCAAGTGTACGTGTCCTCTCCAGCCACTGTTCGTGACCTCTCCAGCCAATGTTCGTGTCCTCTCCAGTCAGTGTACGTGTCCTCTCCAGCCAGTGTACGTGTTCTCTCCAGGCAGTGTTCATGTCCTCTCCAGCCACTGTACGTGTCCTCTCCAGCTAGTGTACGTGTCCTCTCCAGCTAGTGTACGTGTCCTCTCCAGCTAGTGTACGTGTCCTTTCCAGCCAGTGTACGTGTCCTCTCCAGGCAGTGTTCGTGTCCTCTCCAGCCACTGTACGTGTCCTCTCCAGTCACTGTACGTGTCCTCTTCAGCCAGTGTACGTGTCCTCTCCAGCCACTGTTCGTGTCCTCTCCAGCCAGTGTTCGTGTCCTCTCCAGCCAGTGTTCGTGTCCTCTCCAGCCAGTGTTCGTGTCCTCTCCAGCCAGTGTTTGTGTTCTCTCCAGCCAGTGTTCGTGTCCTCTCCAGCCAGTGTTCGTGTCCTCTCCAGCCAGTGTTCGTGTCCTCTCCAGCCAGTGTTCGTGTCCTCTCCAGCCAGTGTTCGTGTCCTCTCCAGCTACTGTACGTGTCCTCTCTAGCCACTGTACGTGTCCTCTCCAGCCAGTGTACGTGTCCTCTCCAGCTACTGATCGTGTTATCTCCAGCCACTGTACGTGTCCTCTCTAACCACTGTTCGTGTCCTCTCCAGCCAGTGTACGTGTCCTCTCCAGCCAGTGTACGTGTCGTCTCCAGCCAGTGTTCGTGTCCTCTCCAGCCAGTGTACGTGTCGTCTCCAGCCAGTGTTCGTGTCCTCTCCAGCCACTGTACGTGTCCTCTCTAGCCACTGTTCGTGTCCTCTCCAGCCAGTGTACGTGTCCTCTCCAGCCAGAGTACGTGTCGTCTCCAGCCAGTGTACGTGTCCTCTCCAGCCAGTGTTCGTGTCCTCTCCTGCTACTGTACGTGTCCTCTCTAGCCACTGTACGTGTCCTACGTGTCCTCTCCAGCCACTGTTCGTGTCCTCTCCAGCCAGTGTACGTGTCCTCTCCAGCCAGTGTACGTGTCCTCTCCAGCCAGTGTTCGTGTCCTTTCCAACCAGTGTACGTGTCCTTTCCAGCCACTGTTCGTGTCCTGTCCAGTCAGCGTTCGTGTCCTCTCCAGCCAGTGTTCGTGTCCTCTCCAGCCACTGTTCGTGTCCTCTCCAGCCAGTGTTCGTGTCCTCTCCAGCCAGTGTTCGTGTCCTCTCCAGCCACTGTTCGTGTCCTCTCCAGCCACTGTTCGTGTCCTCTCCAGCCACTGTTCGTGTCCTCTCCAGCCACTGTTCGTGTCCTCTTCACCCACTGTACGTGTCCTCTCCAGCCACTGTTCGTGTCCTCTCCAGCCAGTGTTCGTGTCCTCTCCACCCAGTCTTCGTGTCCTCTCCAGCCAGTGTTCGTGTCCTCTCCTCCCAGTCTTCGTGTCCTCTCCACCCAGTCTTCGTGTCCTCTCAACCCAGTGTTCGTGTCCTCTCCAGCCAGTGTTCGTGTCCTCTCAAGCCAGTGTTCGTGTCCTCTCAAGCCAGTGTACGTGTCCTCTCTAGCCAGAGTACGTGTCCTCTCAAGCCAGTGTACGTGTCCTCTCCAGCCACTGTTCGTGTCCTCTCCAGCCAGTGTTCGTGTCCTCTCCAGCCAGTGTACGTGTCCTCTCTAGCCAGAGTACGTGTCCTCTCAAGCCAGTGTACGTGTCCTCTCCAGCCACTGTTCGTGACCTCTCCAGCCAATGTTCGTGTCCTCTCCAGTCAGTGTACGTGTCCTCTCCAGCCAGTGTACGTATTCTCTCCAGGCAGTGTTCATGTCCTCTCCAGCCACTGTACGTGTCCTCTCCAGCTAGTGTACGTGTCCTCTCCAGCTAGTGTACGTGTCCTCTCCAGCTAGTGTACGTGTCCTTTCCAGCCAGTGTACGTGTCCTCTCCAGGCAGT